ATGATAGTGGAAGTAGTAATTAAAGTATTGCAGTGTTGTCAGGCAGCAAAGTATATGTTTTGCTGCAGCACCAGCAGCACAATATTTTTGGACTTGTTGACGTGCGTGGAGAATCGACGCCTCAGGATATCGTGATGGGTTAATTTCAATTAATTTTTGCTTTTAATTATTAATTCTTATCTTCTTTATTATGCTTCAATATCTGCAAGAATCCGTGTAAATAGAATTCAGAGCACTTTGTTATCCCTTTGTTGACAGTCAAAAGCTCACAATATTACGATATTTTGACATTATAATGAAAGTACTAATATTCAAAAGCATGCTTTTTTTGCATTATTTGTCAGTGTGAGGATGAAACAAAGTTAATAATGCATGAAAGTGTTTGAACAAGTGATATGTCTGCTTTTTTGGATATTCTGTCATCTATCTATTTCAATTCTCTCTTTTGTTTTGGATAATTTGGAGTAGTTATCTGCCTACACTTGATAATATCATCCGGAAATGCTTTAAGCTTATGTCAGATTCCACGATTCCTTCTAATTGTTATCCTTTTAATATCCTAATAAAAAGTTGTAAAAATCAAAGCCTTTTTAAAAAAAATATGAATTCTGAAGACAAAAAAACAATTTTAAATGTAATTCGGGAAAAATGGTTTTTCTTCAGTAGATGTCCCGCGAAATTTTCGTCTACTGGAAGAGCTTGAAGATGGACAGAAAGGCAAAGGTGATGGTAATATATCATGGGGACTTGAAGATGACGACGATATGACTTTGACACGTTGGACAGGGATGATTATTGGCCCTCCAAGGGTTAGTTTTTTCTTTAAATTTACATTTATGTAGAAAAATATCAGTAAAAGACTTTAACAAAGTTCATTGTTTTTTGTTGTCATTCCTGATAATTGCTTCAAACAATAAAATGATTAAAAAGGAGTCATAAAAATTTAGCACATGGAAGATTATAATGGTCATTGACTACAACATTATCAAAGGTTATAGGTTGATAAGACTGTAGTTAGAAATTTGCCAAAAGAGCTGGCGATTGGTAATCTACGAACAGCGTTACATAATTTTTTTTTTTAAATTTGTTCATTGGTTAAACTATCAACCTGCTGTAATTTAGACTCCATTCGAATCCAGAATATATAATTTACGCATAGAATGTGGTCAAAATTATCCAAAAGAAGCACCAACTGTACGGTTTACGACGAAAATCAACCTGAACGGCGTGAATCAAACTAATGGCATGGTATTTAATTAACTTTTTCTTGAGTTCTTATTGAATTTTTTATAATTATGTAAGGCAAAATTGCTGAAAAGAAACAGAAAATGAGAAATTTTGAAAATTTAGGTGGAAGTTTTAAAGTTGTTTTTGGAATTGTGTGGTTGAGTTTAAATAAGATGATACCTAGAATCATCTTAGATTCTCTTTCTTTTGCAGTTTCTTATGGAATTTCGTGCTAACGTATTTTATCCTAATACGAAACGATACTTTTTTTATTTAAAGAAACATCAACAGGACTAACTTCAAAAAAGTCGCGACATATTGTTTAGATTTAAAAATATTAATTACAGGTGGATAGGCGATGTGTACCCGTTCTTCGTCAGTGGAATAGCACATTTTATATCAAAACGATTCTTGAGGATATACGAAAGACAATGATGACTGCAAAGGAGAATATGAAATTACCGCAACCCCCAGAGGGTGCCACATATTAGGATTTATTTTTTTCATATTTTCTGGAATTTCCAAATTCAGCAGTACATCTTCTCATATTTATTGTTAAATTTGATAGTTAATTTAATTTCGCATAATCTCGATATTTTTATTTGGAAAGTGGAATTCAATTGATATTTACGTCTAGAAACAAATTGGAATATTGAAATTACTATTAACATCGCTTTTATAATTTATATATTATTGTTCTTAATTTCACTACAACTTCAATATACTTCTAATACTTTTTTACAAACACTAGTGTTTGAATATTCCAGTCATTCTTTATGTGGAATTCTTGTTTGCTCGTAGGTTAACTTAACGGATATAGCTTCTCCGCTGTTTTCTCTTTTTGAAAAAAAAAAAGATTTCAAGTATATTTTTCAGTTCCACGGTTTGTAATGCGAATTTGTGCGTGGATGGAGTGTGCATGTTTGTGTGTGTAGATGTGCGTGTGCGTTTTTATGCATTTATTATTTTGATGGACGAAATTAGATATGGATTTATGTATTTGTTGTCTTTGTCAAGTTGCAGGGGTGGTACTATCTTTTGCTGTTTTCTTTTATCTTTATCACATCTCTACTCTTAATATTAACTAAATTTTAAGAGAACACTGTTGTGTATTACGTTATTTGTAGGATATTACGGAATTTCATAAGCACTAAATTGGAATGACGTACTTACTAATGCTTCTGATGTTCGTCATTTATATTGACAAAGTTGTACTGAAGATTGTTTTTTTTTTTTTTGTTTCTGCATGTGGTAGAAAAGCGATACATTATCGGAACAAGCAAATATGTTATAACAACAGATTTATAAAATTTCCGGTTGTTTTCAAATCTCAGTAAACTTAGTTAGATGATGAGGGATACATTAAGGACAGAGATGCACTCATAATAAATACTGGGTCATGATTTTCACGAGTAATTTACGGTTTAGCTTGTTTGTTCGTGTGTCTTTTGGGAAAAAATATGAGATCAAAAAATGATCATTGCTTGTAAGATTGCGTCAATTGGTTTAATTGCTTTGCTACAATTAAAATATTTGCTTAGTTATCGTGGAATGTTTTTTCGCTTCAGTTATCAGTTTTAATTTAACTTCAAAGTTTTTTAAATTACTATTTAAAATAAAGATAGCTTTGAATGAATATTTTGTGCTTTTGATTTTTTCTCAGTGAGGTCGTTACAATCGACATTATATTTGGCGATTTTGTAAATACATATGTGATTCCATATCTTTGATAATTTTATTTTTTTCATGTTTCCTCACGTAGCATCAATGTTACACTCACTTTGAGTGAAAAAGGATTTCGAATATATTTGTCAGATGCTGATTTCTTTTTACTATCGATCACTTAGTGATAATTGTTTTGCACTTTTTTTTCGCATGTGAATATAATACAAGTGATGCGAGTATGAGAGTTGTCTTCCGTGATGTCAGAGATCGAAATATCAGTGTTGTGTCGTAGGATCCTTGTTAGGGATGAGATATTTTAAAGTGGAATAACAGTTTTTATGCTAAACTTTCGTTTTTCGGCATCCTTTGATAAAAAGAAATCCAGCACTTCAACAGATATGCACCAGAAAAGTTCTATGGTGCTGAAAGCTGTGATAGTGTTATAGTGTTATAGCCACAGTATCTAGAACTGGTTGACAACATCTTATTTTTTATAATCTGACTAAGAGACGAGAAAGTTAAAAGAAGGAGATCAAGCAAAGCATGAAAAATTCCCCAGTCATTCTATTATTATTTAATTAGAAGAAAGCTAGATTTATGTCGAGGTTAACACATTTCAGATTACATTGTAACCTGCCAATTTGCAGACTTTCTTCTATTGTATATAAGAATTCTCGATGATATTATGACGTAATGTCAAGATTTGATGCCGTAACACATAATGGTAAGGTATTGCATAATCCTAGACATGACACTTACGATAGTTTTATTAACTCAATAAAAATCTAAGATATGGCCAAAATCATGAGATTTTAATGTATTAACCTGTCAGGTGCTCATATTAGTACGACATTGTATAACATAAAATATATAACATAAAATGGAGAACAGTTTCAGATGTAAGCAGTAGTTTTAATAATAGGATAGCTTAAAAGTGTTCACTTATTCATTTTTAATGGTTTTATTTTTTTTCATTTTAGTGTTTAAAAAAAACTATCCATTTTTATTGTTTTCATTTTTATTAGTTATGGTGTTTCATAAAATATATAAGATTCTAAAAAAGAAACGTTTGAAAAGTTAACTATACAATGAAGTTTATTATAAGTGTTTATAAAATTTTTTGAAGATTTTTGTAAAATTTCAGAACTGCTTGTGGCAATTCAACAATATCTCTCTCAGGGTCCTTGTCAGGAAGCGGCCAAAACGCTGAAGGAGGAAATAGAAAAGAACAAAGTTCTAGTTGTTTTCATCAGTTTTTAAATCGACATCTTTAACCAAAAATTGATTTTTTTATCGATCAGAATAGTTAAAGTTCCTAGCAGCAGGAATCTTTGCAAATATCTAGTTCAAATGTGCAAGTCGAAGTTCTTATCAACCGAAATTCTAATAAAAAATTTCTTGTTATAAACTTTTTGTCAATTTGTATTCCATTACTAAATGTATTTCTTCATCACTGACAGCGAATAAGTAGCTGTTGCTTGCTGTTGGTTGCTTCCAAATCGGATAACTTAACTTACTGAATTGATTATAAAGAGTTACTACAAGCAGTGATAATAACATATTCTTGCTGTGAAAACTTATCTATAAAAAATTAAGGTGGGAAAGGCAAGGCATAGGTCCTATGTAGTTTTTTAAAGCATTTAGTGTTTTTTTTCTATCCTCCTTTCTTTCACCACTTCCTTGTCTCTTCTAATTGTAATACGATAGAAGTTGGAATGTTTTCTCTTTTTTATATATGCACAAGATTTTCGCAAAATCTTTTTTCTTTACATTGTTTCATTATCTTCATTCATTTTCTTGATATGAGTTATTTTTTAGCTGCTGCCTGTAAGATATGATTACAAGGGTCAAGCCCATCAATGCTCTTTTGAAGATTTTGTAAGTTTATTCGTCAATATTTTTTTTTTCATTTAATTTGTTTCGAATAGTTTGAATGAGATTTGGTATTGACAAGCACAAAGTAGATGTTGTTGTATGCCATGAAAAATAGTTTAAATTGTATTATAAAAGAAAATAGTTTAAATTATAGTTATTTTTTCTTCAGAGTTTATACTTTTCATTAATTGCTTTCTTAAAATTAATCGTTTTTTCTTAAGGAAAGATCTGTTATGCCGTTAAATGTTTCACTGGTCTCCTTAATCGAACGCCTTGGTTCTTTAATCACGATCGCAGTTCCGATTCCTTTACGAAATCTACCTCTACGAATATACATGAATAAACCATATGCTTTAGACCGAAAACCAGGTTCTTTTTTGTGCCAGTTTCTGTGATACTACTATTTTATCCCAATTTATTAGTTCTATTAATCAATGCTGAGAACCAAATTCTGTTATACTTCAGGGGATTTGATAAAGAAGCCAACATTACGGGTTGCCTTAGGACGTTCGAATATCAGTGTACTAAAAAAACTGAATCCAATACGATCACGGATTGTACGTGAACTGGGTAGGCCAATAACACCGAAATATCTCTTGCATAAGGTATGTAATAATTTGTGTGCACTGACTTTTGTTTAGAATTTCCCTAAAAAATACCTTGATCTGTCAATTTATACCGTTATCCGAGAGATTGCCGTTTTTCTTTTTTAATGTATATATAAATATAAATATTCACTATTTGAATTTTTCAGAGTTCAATGAATAATTTTGAATTACACTATCGCATTCTTGGTCATCTATCATCCGTTTTTTGCGTTGCATTCGATAAATCCGGCTCTTATGTCATTACGGTAATAGTTTTCATATTTGGCATTCTCTTTTTTTCAAAAGTTAAATTTATTCACTACAATTTTGAAAAATTTTGAAATTCGTTGTTTCAAAGCATTTCTCTGTAAATTTTGATAAATTTATTCATTTAGCTCTTAAGCATGTTGGAAAAGTATCATTTGTAATTAGTCTAATAAGACATAGGTAAAACTTTTTTTGTTTTCTTGGCAATGTTAAAAGGATATTTTTCTCCTTAGCTTACACGTATTTAACAAGACAAACATAAATTATGTTATTACTGAAGCTTTTAATCGATTACAGTGGCAAAAGAAATCTAATTATTTTTGGGCCACATTATTTTTCCCCTTTTTAGGGTGCTGATGATAATCTTGTCAAAGTATGGAATATACGAACGGGTTTGTTACGTTTCACACTACGAGGACATTCAGCAGAAATTGCAGATATGTCTGTCTCAGAAGATAATACATTGTTAGGTACTGGTTCCGTGGATAAAACAATTAGGTAATTTGTATTTTCTAAACTTATTCCTTGTTATGTCACCTAAATAATTTTTAACAATGATAATTAACAATAGTAGTAATCAGTAGTTAGTAATAACAATAATAGTAATAATTGATAACAATAATAATTAATGGCAATAATAATAAATAATAGTAATAATAATAATGACAGTGACGATGGTAACACTTGTAATAGTGTTAGGTGCTTCTTAGCAACATTTGTGCAAAATGAATCATTTAATATCAACCCAGAAAAAAGCTTTCGAAAAAAAACACTTTCTCCTATTCTCTAAATCAGTTCTATATTATTTATATTTTTAAAATTATTTTATCTCATCCCTTTTGTTATCATTATACGTTATTATGTTACCGCCACCATAATTTTATTTCTTTGACTTTTATTTCTTTGATTCCTGAGACCAGTAGATGAAAATCCATGACAACAGGTGTTGAAAATTTTGGAAAAAAATTTTGAAAATTTTGGATTTTTTTCTCCAAGCAGAGACCATTTACATTAATGTAATTACTGGCTTCAAAAGTATTTTTCAGGTCATGTCTCTATAAGTAGAAATTATATTGAAACAGAATGCTGACAAACTGTAATAGAAACTTTAAAAAGATAAAGGGACTATCGAAACATGTGAATTCGATAAAAAATTTTTGAGAATTGGGAATATAATTGACAATTAGAGCTTACCAGTTGTTATTCTCCTTATTAGCTTATAATCCAAATAATTATTAGTGTGACCATTTGATATATCCACTAAGTATTTTCTACTGTTTTTAATCGAAGACTTTCTTAGAACAGAGAAATTAATAAGGTGTTTTCCAAAGAAATAAACAAAAAAAAAAAATGTACTGCAAATGCTAGAGGATATTCTGTTTCTATGTCTGTCAGATTTTCGAGATGTAGTTTCTGGTGTTTTATTTGAATCTCAAAACCAGAGCAATATATACAGTTAATTATTTCCGTTACTGAACTCGAATATTGAACACATCAGTATCTAGTATTATACATTAAATTTCTAAATATTTCAGAGTCTGGTGCTTGCAAACAGCTGCACCACTAGCTTTTTATCGCAGTCATTCTGCGATGGTTACATTAATTGCTTTCATTCCATTTGTTGATGGTGCTACGCGTTATTTGGTTTCCGCTGGTGGTGATTGTCTTATCAATTTTTATCGTTATAGTTCTTTGGATCACGGATTTGAGTATGTTTGTTATAAATGATTAATTTTAGTAATAAATGGAGGGCGTGATTTATAGCATTCTTAGTGATGACTAAGATAAAAGCTGGCCTGAAGTATTATTGCTTTTTCATTTTAGTTTTAAGATTCGCTCTTTGCTTTTTCAGAGCAATACCGACGCGTTTCTATGAGCGCACATCATCAGGTACTCGTATTGTGAGCTCATGTCATAGCCCCGGTGGTAGTTTGGTGGTTTTTGGTGATACACATCACAGTCTCAGGATTTACAAGATCACTCGTGATAATATTATTAAAATTAGCGATATTGAAGCGCATACAGTACGTTAATATTTTTTTCTATATTGAAAGTTCTACTTAAAGTCAATTTCATGATATTAAGAATTCATTTCACATTTTATTTGAGTTATAATCTTTGAAGGCTGCTGTCAAGATTTGGATTTTGATTAAAATTTGCGTAGATATAAATACAAAGTATATTCTTGTGTCTTTCTTACGCTTATTCTTGTATATTCGAAAGAAATTTTGCAGGATCGCGTTGATAGTTTGGTATGGGCACATAGAGGATTGCGATTTGCAAGTGGTAGTCGAGATGGTGTTGCTAAAGTGTGGAAATTTGAATTTAATGATTGGATTCCACTTGTTTTACATCCTAAACTGAGGTGAGAAAACAATTGCAGAATTTCTCTTAAACATAATCTGATTCATTTATCTTCTCTGTTACAAAACAAAAAACTATGCAGAGCAGCGACGAATCATTACTTCAATTGTTTGCTCAAATTTTTTGTAGACAAAGGGAGATATATTGTGAGAGTAGCCTGCTGTATTTTGTGGACAGAAGCAAAATTTCCGAAAAAGTAACTTTAAAATCGATGACTTCCATGATTTTGTTCTCCGATTTTCTTTGATTTCTAAAGGGAAGTACAAAAGTGAGTCTATTTTGTTTTTGGGTTAATAATTTTTTGCTATTTTTATTATTTGGTAAGATAATTTAAAAAGTGTTTCAGAGATGAAAAGGTTTCGAATTCGCGTAATACATACAAAGTAACAATGTTATGTTGGTCACTGAAAGATGATTTTATTGTTACTGCTGGTTCTGATTTCATTTTACGGGTGTGGTGCTCGATATCTGGTACTGAATTACGTCAGTTGGTGGGACACAAGGAAGATGCTTACGTGTTGCATTCTCATCCGATATTTGAGGATTATATTATAAGCGGTGGTCATGATGGTTTCCTAATGGTATGATTTATTTGAGTTAATATTTACTTGGGAAAAGTATAAAGTATAGATGTCTTAAATAACATTGGTTACTTACTGTAACTGAAATGTAGGTGATTTATAAAAAATAAAGGAACTTATTTGATGTTTGGATTTGTATAGGTTTGGAATGTTTATACGGGTTTTTTGGTGAAACGGCATCAGAATCTCATCGAAGGATCTGGATATGGAGCTGTTTTTGATTTTGCAATTTCACCTGATGGTACTTTGGCTGCAGCTGTTGATTCGCACGGACATCTTTCTATCCTTGGTGTTGGAACAAATCAGATGGCTAAAACCACTCCAAAAGAACAATTTTTCCATACTGATTATATGTAAGTGCTTTTGCAAGAAGAGAAAGTAAATTATAATTTACATCAAATCAACATGCAAAGCTCCGTTTATTGGAATAAGAAATGAGAAGACGTTCACTTGATAAATGATATAATTAATGGTTGATATAAATCCGGAAGTTCGTTTTGATAATGAAGAGGCGTATTATACAGCGAGTTTTTTTTTTTGTGCTTGATCGACTAATAGTTATAATATCACATTGGAATTTCCTCAATCAAATGAATTAAGGCCACTTATACTGGATGAGAATAATTATTTTGTGGATGAAGAAACGGAAATTACACCTCATCTTATGGGTCCACCAAGAATGGTTGATGCAGATGGCATTGATTATGACGATGATATACAGGCAATGGTACCTGGTCGTGACCTACTGCTACGAGTAATATTTCATACTTATTTTGTACTAAGTGAAGTTTTTCTTTGTGCAAGATGAACTTGTTTACTCGAATAATTGAAATGTTCTATTCATTTTTTTCCCTTGTGCTAACGTTATAACAGCGTTGTTTTCAATTAATCACTGGCAATTAATTTTGCATTAAAAAAGACTTGTTCAATCCTTGATTTCTCAACTAACGTCGCATATGGTTCTAGGATGATAGCTTGATTCCACAAAATCCACCATGGCTGTCACGGCAAATGGTTTGCACGTTGCCGAAATCAACAGTTGATATAAAAAATATGTATTTGACTGAATTAAGGGAACAAGAAGAGGATATATTGCTACGTGAAATGAACCGAACGCGGCCACGTACCATTCCGATCAGTGAACGGGTAAATTTTTTTACTGTGGAGCATATTTTTATCACTGTTTACTTTTTTTTTGTTATTTTAGATCAAAGAAGAAAATTCTGAGATACTCTTTTCATATGAGTAAAATTTTTATTTCAGAAAATTAATGTGATAAATACAGTTTCCCGAAGGAGGCGAGCGGGTATGTTCATAAGATTTCGTTTCGCCTGGTGAAATTATTTGAATTAAGTACACTGATTATATTGTAGAATATAAGAAAGAATTGGCTATACTTTTCAGTTTCTCCTAAAAATTGGATTCCGAGAGTAATTTAGTATTAGATAAACAGGCAACCAAAAAACAGATCGTAGCAGTACTCATATACTACTACTTACTATTTTACTTTTTGCTCCATAGTGTTTGTAAAGATCAGAAACCGGAATTTTGTAGGAGTTCGTTGGTCAGAATGTTTTCCGCAACGACAGCGAAGGCTTCGAAATCAACAACTAGCAGATGAAACCGAAATCGATGACGATGTAACAGAAGCATCCACTGCTGATTCATCATTTACCTCTACTTCGGCAACCGATGACGAAATTTCGAGCGAAGATACTGCAAGTTCTGATGATTCCAGTGATAGTGATTACGTTATCAATACAAGAAGTTCTGTGAGTTTGTATATATTGCAGACAATAATAATCTAATCTGGTTTAATATACACTGAAATTCCTTTGTCAAATGCATTATCCATTGGCGAAGGATTATGCAAAAGAAAACAGAGAATAAAAATAAACTTCCTGGATCTTTGAACGGATGTGCAAAAATTCAGTGTTTTGGATTTAATATAACAGAAAGGCTAAATAGGTGAATTCCACATGAAGTAATCAATAACAAAAATTATCTTTTGAAATAATATGGTTTTTCATCTGGTGCAACATTCAAATCGAACAAATGTAGGACGGTAAGTGGATTCTTTATAAGTTGCGTTACATCTAGTTTTCTAAACCGTATACAGTAATATGTAAAAAAAGCAATCTTTGCAGTTCGAATTAAGTAACTCTTGACTGTAAATTTAGAAATCCATAAAACTTTTTTTTCCAAAATCATACTTTGAAATTTAGTTTTTTATTTCGATTAGTCATCCTTTTTTTCTACAGAATCAGCGGCGAAGAAGAGTTGAAGTAGAACTTGATGATAGTGTCGTTACTTCAGACACTACTTCATCCGCTAGAACTTCAACACGAAGACGTCGACGAATTGTAGTATCAGGTATAGCCCTAATCCATATTGATAGTGATTATTTATTGCATAATTAATTCCAATGGTGCTGGTGCTGTTTACCTTTTTTTTTCATTTTATGAGATTGTTTCAGATGAAGCCGAGGATACGCGGTCAGCTGATGATAATTCAAATGATAAAAAATGTGAACCATCATCTTCAACTTCAGAGTTGAATTATATAGATGCCGAACCAGGACCATCAAATGTCAGATCATCGCTATCTGCACTTACAGTTTTGCATCCATCGGTTGATAGTATGTCGGGTATTTCTACTCCACATTCACCTTCCGAACAGGACGCGTCGCCTGTTTCTTTAGATAATTACGATGCTGACGCAGATTTTCCACGATGGATGCGTCTAACACAACCGCTTCGCTTTCCATATATCGCACAAATCGGAGATGAGGTGGTTTATTTCAGGCAAGGTAGGTTTGCTTTGTCGAATGAATAAATGAAATTTTATGATTTTGTTAAATCACTGAATATGATGCTGATGCGACTTACTTATTTAGATAGTTTTCTTACGGTTGAAAATGTACACCTCTATTCACCACTAATTGGTATATTGCTTTGTGGTCGCCCGTTTGCTTCAGTCTTATTTTGCTATATGATCAATCCTTGTTATATCAAAATAGTCTAATCCTTTCTATGTCTTATTTTAATATGTACTAGATACGAGCAAATACTTCTGTAGGAATAATTATTGTCACAACTGCAAACATTCTTTCTATATTTGATAAGTTGCTGACTTTTAATTAATATCAAAAGATACCGGTTAGGAATCCATATAGTAATATTGAATTGTTAAGTACAAGAACATGAATGGAGTATCTCGGTGGAACTGATACTCGTCATTACAGCACAGATGCACAGTAGGCGCGGAAGAGCATCAGCTTCCAAAGATGATTGGATAGCATGCCAGCTTTTCGGGTTCTAGTTAGGCTAGGAATATAAATTATTGCACAGGAATTTTTTTCCTTTTCGTCCAAACGATTTTAAATTCAAGAAGACTGAAAAAATAATTTCTTTTAGGTCACGAATTTTACTTACATGCCGTTGAAACAAGAGGTTTGTATCACGTTACTCATAGGCTCAAACCATTGGCTCAACTAAATGCTGAAGAATTTTGCATCGTTGAAGAGGTTGGATATTTCTTCTTTCGATTTAAATCTAGGATTTTATGCAATTTTTATATACTTGAAATTTACTTCGTATTACTGTGATTAATATCGTTGGTGGTTGCCTATTAGAAATTGACGGAATCATCTGTCAAATTCACGCAGTACATTCATTTATTAAGGTATTAGTACGGTTGAAAATGCTTATCATTCGTTAACATTCGTTGAGTGTCTTAACTTGATTGGAGCATTAAAATTATGCTTTCACTCATTTCTGCTGTTGGAGCTCTCGCCGACACATTTTTCATAGAGTTGTATCATACTTCTTAAAATTAATGCAGAGTTTCAGATTAGATATTTGAGAAAACCATATAGGCTAACAGCAGTGAAGCTTGCGCAGACAAATGCAGCTGGTGTACGAACCGGACTTATATTCTCAGTAAAGTAAGTATCATTCATTTTTATATCTGAGCCAACTATATCTGATGACGAATGGTACATTTGCTTTGAATTTTACTTGCGCTGCTTGTATAAATATGATGAAAATAGTTTTTTTTTCCGTAGGACGGGAAGTAACAGTGTATGAATTAATACAGTCTATTTAATAGCTATGAATTTGGCTATTTTAATAAGTTTAACTCCTCAATTTATATAGTTGGACTTAATTGCAGATTTCATGATATGGAAAATGTGCCGGACTTCATTATTTTACGGCATCTATATGATGAATCAGTGGCACGTCGTTATCAACCGGGAACACGAATTGAAATTATTTTGGATAATCATTGGTGGACTGGTACCATTGATAAGAAAGAAGTACATGATGAAGAAAATTATCCGAGGTCTGTCTCTTATGATTGTTTGCCAAAAACACATTTTTTTGAGGATGATTTAATGACCATTGCAATAAAACCTTTTCTTTGTAGAATAAAATTTGATCAGTAAACTCGTCGTGTAAAATTGTTCCAGGTCGAATTGGTATTGTCTTACAGTTAGATGGGATACTGGAGAAGATGAAAAAATGAGTCCGTGGGATGTGCAACCTCAGCAACCAAATCGACGTTCGGGTAAGATTTCGAATTTCATTATGTGTTAAATTGAATTGAAAATGTAACTGGGACGCGTGAATTAATATACTTATTATCGTAAATTTAAATTGACAATGTCATGAATAAATATAGTCGGAGTTCAGTTTTAAGAAGTGAATTGGAATATCAGTTGATATTAATCGGCAGCCAGTAAGAGAAACACAAGATTGATCAATATTATCGTTTTATTGTTTGTTTTTTCATCTTGTGTTACTGCTGTTGGACATCTCATTCCATAGTGATTTTAGGTATTGCAAGCGAAGAGGATCAGGTATTGTTTTCACAATATCCAGTCAATGAACGAGACTGGATGGGTGCAGTGGAAGGTATTAGTGCATGTTCGAAACGTATCATTGACGCTGTGAGAAGTATGGAAGATGATCCTCATATAAAACCGTTCGCAGCACCTGTCAACTTGACTGAATATCCGGATTATTTGTGGGACGTGGATTATCCAATTGATCTGAGTACGATTGTTGAACGAGTCAAAAATCGATTTTACAGGTTCATTGATTAGAACGATTCATCGGCATCGAACATCTAATATCAATGATCAAAAAACTCGGCAGTTCTAGTCATTTCATCTTAAATAATACAATAATTAAACAGTTTTTCCTCCATAGATTTTTGTAATATTTTAATGTGAAGACATTGGTATAGTGGTTAAAAGGCAGTTGCGTTGACAATGACATGTCGGTAAAGACGCTACCATAACACAACATTGTCGAATGATCGACTAATTGATAAATTTATATTTTGAAATTTGCAGAAGATTGGCAAGTTTAGAGCAGGATATTCGCTATATTGCAATAAATGCACGCCTTTTTAATCAACCAAACAGTGAAATTGTTCGAAATTCCAGGGTCTTGGTAGAAACACTCATTCGTTATCTGAAGTAACCTTTTTTTAACGTCCAGTCATTTAAAATTTCAGTTACATTCCATATATTCATTCATTAAAATATATTCTATCCATCATTTTTACCATACGGAAATAAATATGCTGAAAATTCCAATATCAGAGATGAAACGAAGGAGATTGATGTTCAGAAGCCATTTTATCAGATTTTATTTTTAAAAATGGATGCGTCCTTAGTAGAGTCTCCAGCAGTATTTTTTTATTACATTACCATCATAGATTGAATAAAACGTAATGCAATCAATACTTTCTTCTTCCAGCATTTTTTTCTTATCATCAATAAGCAGATTTAATTTCAGTGATGCCCAATACACAGATGCTATGCAGCTATTTCGTGTTTTGAAAGCTGGACAAGATAGTGAATTAAGAGAATACAATAATTTGAAGCAGTGCACCAAAGTTACAGTTGAAGAAATGAAAGAAGAGCCATCTATTGTTGCAAAGAAGACAAAACATCGGTCACGTAGTAGTGCCATGTCACCGAATTCTTCCGTGGATCTTCCTTCTGAATGGTATGTCGAATGTGTGGATGTACTGCAAGAAGTGATGACGGAGCGAACTTCAACTCATTTCATCAGTTCTGGTGGTGAGGTTAGTGTCCCATGCTTTATAAATTATACAGAGCTTAAATTGGTCTTAATATTAGATATATTACAATCACTTGGCATTATCTATCACGCTTTTCTTTGTTAAAGACGATTATACGTGATGCACATATAACCTATATTTGATATATATGTGCTGATCTGCTTATCATCATTTCCTAGCCGTTATTTGTATTACAGTATAGTAGTTTTTACGCAAATGCTACATAACAGAAGTCGATATCCATTTAGTTTCCGAAGAAAGCAAAGCGATTTTGACCATATAGTTTTATTTGGTTAACTTATTTGCTGTACGATTAACAAAAGAAATTTCATTATTTTTACGGGAAAAGAAAATTTCATGATTTTTACGGATATGAATTTACTAAGCCGTACAAGCATTCTAAGAAAATAATGGGAAATGATAATCATGAGAAAAGGGTAATAAATTGCAAAATCTATCTAATTAAAAAAGCAAAACTAATGAAGGCATTATAATGGCATTATAATTCTTTCATTCGTCCCCGTTCAATTTCACAAAACTTTAACAAAGTTATCAAAGGACATTATATAATAGAACTTGCAATCTTTTTTTCTTTTTTATGTTTATTAAATGAAGGAAATTTCATAATTCAGTGGCTAGCGGATGTATTTTCGTCATATGATGACTTGTTAACTGTGAAGGAAAAAGTTATCAAACGAGCATATAGCAGTCCTTTGGAAGTTGTTAATGCAGTAAAAACTTTGATGCAGGCATGTCGAAATGCTGTTGATAATAAGCGGTCACCGGTAAGAATTTTTGTTTGGCCTTACTTTATGAGTTTTATTTGAAGTATTTTTATTCCAAATAGTAATAATGTTATATTTCTGATTATTCCTTTGTCCGTTTCTGATTGTTCCTTGTAAATACCAGGATCACTTTTATCATTCTCGCTATTCTACATTACTATGTTGCTGTATAGCTGTATCTCAAGTACAGTTGTTATCTACAACTCTGTGCTGAACTATTTACCCGCAATTTATAATATATTTGTTATCGGCTATTTGAATAAACACCATTGATGAGGAAAAATTTGATTTACTGATGCAGTATTTTCATTCTCGCAACGAGCATTGACAATGTCTGTGTTAATTTTTTTCGTAGATTCTTTAAATTTGGAGTTATGGATTCATGAAAACCACTTCTAACACATGCTAACAATTAATTAATCAGAGCTGACAATTGTTGTGATTGAGAAAATGACAATCAATTTTCTTTAACATTTTCGTTTCTTCAGGTTTTTCGCGACAGTTTAGCGTGTGCTGCATCATTTGACAGCAAGATGGCACCTGTTGTAGCAAAATGGCAACGTATGAGACAGTCAGAAACACCGTTAACTGCTAATGAGGCTGAAGGTCATCATTTACGAGATCGGCCAAAGAATTCACACGTCTATAATACAAGAAGGTAGTTATAGTGTCATATCTTAAATTTCTAAAACATTCTATATTCCAAAAAACATACTGTTTCTATTTCGAAGAATTGTAAAATAGTTTTAGAGTTCCAAGGCTTTTTTATATCTTTAACCTTAACTTTATAAAAATAGTATCATCAATTTCAGTCGTCACGAAGAAAAACAATTTGGCGATCAAAAAAATGGAGCATCAACAAGTACAACCATACCAGTCCGTTCGGGGCGGTCTGGAAGAATGCCAAGTGGATATTATCGAAATCTGAACAATGGGATATATATTGCTCAGGATCGAGGTTCACATTTCTAATTTTTTTGCGAACATTTTTATTTCTTAATGCATTGACAATGTCTATGTTAATTCTTTTTGTAGATTCTTCAAATTTGGAACCTTTTGCGTGGTCTAATAGTCAGGTCAGTTCTTTTTTCTTTTTTTTGCTTCTATTAACAAGTTATCAGTAATAGGGCTTGAAAGCTTCATCACCGTGTATGGTTATGGGTATGGAAAAAAGTTCTGCACCTCAAGATATAATCTGACAAAGTTCTTAGAATAACAATGTTTAATTACATTATCGCATATATTATCTTTCTTCATCAAACCATTATTGACCTAATTTCCATTTAGAAATGAACATGTTGATATTTCAGGATTCCGGGCGTGCAAGAAGAAACACCATCGAATATAATCATGCGAGGTGCATTTATATTGCTGTTTTAAGGAAGAAATAGAAACAATTATGAATTTTGTTTTTCTACTAAGCATTTTTATACATTAAATCATTTAATTTTTCAGGAGTCGCGAAAGTCACGGGAATACTAATAATGCACAATCGGAAGATCAACCAGGTATTTTTGGAAGTTAGAGCTCAAATCTTCGGTTTTCCTTGTAATTCCCTCGTAGTTTCATCATTAATTCAACAGTAAGATTAATTAAATACTGTCGGAAGTTGCTAGCAATATAAGATCTCTTGGAATGTTTTTTCAGTATTCAGCTATTTCTTTTATAACTGGTTAAATGATCGAGATTATATTTAGTAGTCTTAAATATCACACTAATATGGTCATTTCATGACAGTGAATGATAGAAAGTGAAATTTGTTGTTTCTGTAGTAAAATACATGCTTGTCATTAAGATATATGTCAACCAGAATGAACTAATGAGAATCTTTCCTGTTCATGCGTATATTATTTATAGGGCCGTCTGGATTGCAGAACAAAAATAACTTGGTGAATGTGAGAAGAAGCTCGAGAAAAAGAGAGAAACGTTACAACTTGTCAGTTTTTTCATGGATGATTTTTACTATAGTTCTCAAGGACGTGATTTTTTTTGCTCAGATACAAGATTTTATTTTCTCTTTACTACGTAGTATCGATTATTTCCTTTATTATTTTATTTGTAGTTCATTGTATGATCAATAATTTTATAATCCTTTCATTACTAATAGGAGGAATATATTTTAGCGGCACAGTGACAGTAACGGATGAAAGTGATGAAGATACAACAAAATATGATGACTTTTTATGCGATGGAAGAAGTACGGGTGAAATAGACGATGATCCATTAAGTGACTGTAGTTGGAATATGCGAACAAATAGTACGAAGAAAAATAAAAAGTCAGTTCCGGATTTTTTTTTCTTAAGTGAGTTTTAGAGATTTTTGATTTTAATTTAAGTTGTACATGCGTTCTAAATTCTCCATTGAGTTTATTAATATGACAGTAGTATTCGTTAAGTTATGGAAGTGCATTACGTTGATTTGGAGGAACCATGATTAAAATTTTGTCGTTTAATTCAAAATCTAGTTTCAGTCATCGAAAACGAACATGTGGAAGTCAGGAAAATATGGAAATTAACAAAAAGCGACGTCGCCAAAGCACACTAAAAAAAATTGGGGACAATACAAATTCAACATCGTACTCTATTAGCGAGCAGAATTCACCGATGACAAGAAAATATGTGACAAGAAATCGTCAAGGACATGTAAATCATACAGCTGCAGGGGCAAACGGTGACAGTCATCCGCGAATTGGATTAAGACGATCCGTTCAACGAAATGTCAATTATAATGAGAATGGAGTTAGTGATGACGATGATGATGATGATGAGGCATCGAATAGTAGTGCAAAACGGAAAAAGACTCGTAAACATGATAAATGAAATACTTTGCTATTCCATTTATTTCCAAATTTTAGATTTATTAGATTTTAAATTTTTGCAAAAATTCAATCGAAAGAATCAGATGCCATCTACATTCTGTCTAAAAATTTAATATATACATCGTTAAATTAAGTTTGAGTATTATTTTGTATTTTGACTTTGTCTAATGCAAATTCTTTCTGGCTTTCTCTTAACTAAGTCTCTTATCCTAGATAAGTTTTGTATTTCAAAGTTTTTGAAAGTCACCATTAATTTGATGAACGTCTAAAAGAGACAAGGTTCCGCGAATCATTGAAGCGATTCTGTGTGCATGAAATTATTGCTCCTTTTAAAACATTTCGTTACGTCTCACGAGATTGTCTCCCACTTTCATAATTTATATATTGTAGAAAGATTTTGACAATAATGGATGAATGCCAGTCATGGACGTAATTGATATTTGATTGTGCTTTATACATATGTTGTATTATAAAACTTCGTAGCATCAGATGTTTTTTCCTATCAAAACAAAAAGTTGTATTTTAAAAATTTGATCAAATTCTTAATTTTTGTTATTATAGTTTATTGTTTATCGTTGTTTCTATCTAGTATTGCTGAAGTATTTTTTCATTAAGTCAATTATTTAGGCTCAATAATTATGTCTATATTTCAGCGAATATATGGATTGAATAGATATTGGAAATATCTCTCTGGAAGTCCTACTAGAATTCAGAAAATATGCTTTACTCCCACTATCTGTAGAGTGCGATAGTTCTTGATTTCTTTCATTTGTTAATGATTTATACACTAAACCACTGGAAATTGCAACACTGAATGTTTTAGTAATTTTAGCGACAATTTGAAATTTTGAAATAGGAATCAAATGATTTGAATTCTCGATGATTACGTTTGTGTAATGCTTAAGTGTTAAGCTCATTTTTTCATTTATTTAGCGCTGATTTTTCTTGTTAAATTTCTTTTTCATTCTTAAATTGAAATTTGCAATAAAATCTTTGCTTGTCAAGTTTATTTATTATCATTCATCGAAGAAAAAGTAAGCACACTCACGTATTATACTTCATTAAATTAAGATTTTTCCTGATTTTTTTTAAACCATAAAATCAGAAAATGAAAGAGCCACGAGACAAGATAATCATTTGGGTTACCTTTAAAAACTAAAAATGATTTATCCGCTTCACCGGTGTTGCAGCTTTTGTGTAAAAAAGCTATCATTCATTTATGAAACTAATCAAAGTTTTAATCAAGAGCTGTTTAATTATTAATTTTTAATACCTATAGGATATGTCACACAACACACAATGGTCGGTATCAAAGCGATAGCTATGTCTTGGACAGAGACATATTGTTAGAAGCGATTATACCACGAAAGAAAAATTCCTTCATGTAAAATATTTGAATTCAAATTTGAGATTTAGATTAATATTTTTTGTTATATGAATTTACACTTTTAAGTTGATGATGCCCTCCTTCTTTGGTACAATTACGCTCGTAAAACAGATCAGATTCTAATTCACTACGACCCAACACTTATTTGTAATGCTAGTTGCTGAATGTAAAAATGCAGTAATATCAAAGTTTACAGTAAAATGTTGAAAATTTTTTTTTAATGATAGTATTTTCATTTTATGAAAATACTTTCATGCATACAATATTTTTAAATACAATATTTTTCAAAGTCAAATAACGTTGTCGTTTGGCTTTTTTGCACAAAATTTTTGTTTAGAAGAAATCGTAAGCTCTTTTTTTAAATTCACTTTTAAATCTTAGATGTATGTATTAGATATGTCATATTGAAAAAAAAGGAAAAAAATCAATTTGTATATATGTATATATATTTCATATATCACATTAAAAAAACAAGAAAAAAGATTCAATACGTTTCAAGTAAAAATTTACTATGCAAAAATTGTATAAAACTTAATTAATACAATCACTACCGATAAATTGCTATAGGAATTATAGAATTAGTGATGTATTTAGTATGATATATGAAGACATGTAAATATTTAGTACTAATTTATAATATACGAATAGAAATAGTAATATATAGATATTGATCGTAAAAGATGATCGGCTGTTAGAATAATTTTGGAAGAGAAGATATTCATAATTGAATCAAAATCAACATCTTTCCATCATATTTGATAAACAATTTCCAATATTTGTTACGGTAAAATGATTATATTTTCGCTTACCAAAATGAAACGCTTTCTGGCAACTGTATGGCCAAATATTTAATACGTTACTTTTTTTGAACTTCAGCAATTTCTAATATTGAAAACAGATTTTACCATCGCAATACGATGTGATCGTTTTTTCTTTTTTACCATAACTCTGTGCGGTACAGTTATTCTCAATGATGTTTAATTGAAGATTTCCTTTAAAAATGACTTTTTCTTTTCCTCATTTTTATTTTAAAAGACATTTCACTTTCTGTCATTCCAAAAATATTCAATGAGATTTCACTATAGCAATCACAATATATTACTCGGTAGTAAATAACAATTCAATAAATTAAATTAAAAAATTTTGGCTAAATTTACTAAATTATCAGAAGCATGCACATTGTAATTCATTCGCTTCCATAATGCTCACTTCAATTATTTGAATGGTTTATTCATAGTGAGGCCAATTGGCGAGAATTCTCATTGTTTCGTTGTCAACAGCAACAGGAATGTGACGAATATATAATGACTATTTCCTTGCAATTTATCATTTTTAAATCTCATTTTACTTGGTAGATTTTCTTAAAATTTCTTGGGTTTATAAAACTAATTTGACTTGTATTATAAAATAATACTCTCTGACAATAAGTCATTTTTTTTCCGACAGTTATGGGAGTAAACTATTCGAACGTTCTTCACTCTTGTATTGCGCAAAAGTTATATCTCATACTAGTTAGGAAAAATTATACATACAATGGAAGAAATTACAGGAAGAGTTATTAAGTTAAGGAATTACAAGAGTTAAGTTAACGCGTTAACTATCAAACAATGAACAGTGAATTGAAAGAAATACTGAATGCCAGAAATGGTCTTCTATTTTGCGAAGAAGAACTTAGTCCAGTTTTCTGCAAACCGAGACTTATTCCACTCAAATCTGTAACTCTCGAAAAGTTGGAAAAAATGCAGAATGAAGCAATGGAAATAATGAAAAAGATAGAAGAGGGCAAGAATAAGACACCAACAGAGGTAAATTTTCCATTGTCAAACAAGTCTTGAATTAAATCGCCTTAAATCTATGATCCAGAAATTATAATGTAAGATAACTCCAAAGTTTTAATCTGTTTAATAATTTTAGGACTGTTCTGCATGCAAATCACTACTCTTCATCGTCAGTAATCACATCATAAGTGTTATTTTTGGAGTTTTCAGAATAATGGGTCTAAGTAACAAAAAGTGACATAAAATATAAAAAATTTCACAAATCATAATATAAATTTTAGGAAAACACAGAATATAATCGAAGAAAGTCAGAAGAAAGCACCGCTGATATTTGGATTGCTGAAGAAAATCAAAAAACAGCGACAAAATCAACAACCTAACTTTATAACTTATGATATATTCGTACACATTGTTTAAATCTATTCGGCTATTCATATTTTTGAGGTTTGGATCTACCGATAATTTCCGGTTCTGCTATTGGATAGGACTTAGGAATAGCCTTCCACTCCTTCTCTGTTCGCTTATAAATCATCTGTCGTGTATAATGCCCCAATTTTTGTTTATCTCGCAAAGCTTTTACTGATTCTCTGAAAAACAATAGACAGTATATATCCATTTTTCTACTGTTAATTGTTTTGCAGATTATTTTAAATTCGTTTGCAAGTTAAAAGAATATTATTTGACACCATATAAATCGTTCAGAAACTAACCAAGAGTGATGTTACTTTAGAAGTAACATCACTTTTGATTAATTTCTGAATTAAATGTGAATGCTATATTAATCGTCAAGATGGAGAATTGAAAATTTTATAATTTAATCGAATAAGAAATCAAATTAAATTACCTTTCTGATGGTGGCTTTAACAGTTCTGCTAGATTACAATGAATCGGTTTTTGTGACTTTTCGCGCATATACACAACGTGAACTAAATCAAGATCGTTGCGCAATATTGTACTTGTTGTACTGCGTACTTCACGTGGCATGAATGCTTTAATTAGGAAGTAGCTGAAACATCAGATTGAAATTGAAAATTTTTTCATCAGTTACAATTATCTTTACTCCACTTATCAGCGCAATGAAACCAATAAATTACTTTGACGTGTATATATGTTCCGCTGTTTGCTTTCTCACTCGCCTAAATGGCAGATCACGATGTCCAAGGCTCTCCAATTTTTCGATGATAGCACCATTGTCAAGCAGAACTTTTGCAGCACGACGAACAGCAGTAAATAATTCCGGCTGTAATAAGTGAAATTAATTCTAAAATAATGAGAATACGAAATTCTCACAAAAAACTAGAAAGAAAAAATGCTAACCTTGGCCAAAGATCGGGTAATTAAAGTAATTTCATATAGTGGCATTTCCAAGTTATCATAAAACCATTAACACAAGCAATGAAACAATAAAACAATAACTGTATGAAATTCTGCGCTTTTTTTTTCTCGATCCTAAACAAAAATGAATGAATTGGAGAATTTCTGTTTCATTCCAAAAACATTTAAGTTCGTTAAATGAAAACATCAATTGAGAAAGTCCATTACATTACGCTATGTCAGTCAACACATCCATTAGAGTGCAAATTTTCTAAAATATTTACAACCTAATGTCACTTTGACTCACGCATACTTAATTAAATTAAGCGAAAAAAAATCCGCGCCTCAACAAACATATATAAACAACACAGGGACTCGGAGCGCACAAAAATTCTCTGGATAACTTCAGGGTTATATGAAAGTTTGGAGACAATTATAAGTAGCAGATGAGTACTTTAAATGGATTCTAAGCTTAAGAAGTTAAAAGACATGTTCTTGAAATCTTCAAAGTAACCCTCATGCAGTCTAAAAAAAAAATCTTTACGTTATCTCAGAAAAAATGCTTTATAATCCTCGAAACTATCTTTACAGAATAAATTTTTAAAGTAATTATTGTTTTAGTCTTCAAAACATAGTTTTTAAAACAATCGCTCAGGAACTGTTATCATAAAATTACACTCTTCCACAACACATATTCCGTTACAATAATTAAATATTATGTAAATATTGCACGAATTAACATTATTTTAGAAGGAAATCTGTCTGATCTGAAAATTTTAATTTTTATCTTCATCTAATTAATAAACATTTTCCATCTGATAAAGCTTGAGGAGATGAAAGAAATAATCATTAATATAAGTATACAACAAAAATCTTCAATGCAAAAATGTTCATTTCATTTTTTAATAATAAAATCAAATAAATGAAATCAGACAATACATTAGAAATCGAAAACGTGAAATTATTTGAGATGGAAGTGAATTTTCAAAATCCCATTAAATATATTGCATAGATAAAAAAATTTTGAATGCTAATCAAATAATAATAAGTGTGAAAATAGCTAACTACAGATGATTAAAGCAGGACATACCTAAACTGTTTTATAAAAGAGTAGGTGACACTGGAGAAGAATGAATAAATTCACATCAGTTGTACAAATGTCACCATACAGATTATTGCAAACATTCTTAAGAAAATATTATTTATATTTGCAGTGCAAGCGACAACTTCAAAGTGATTACTTGATTTTGTAGTAAACTTGGAAATCAAAACGATATAAATCAAAACAATTTTATCCCTGTCGTAAATCGAACATATATTACACTTTCTAACCTAGAGAAGAAAAAGCAAAATTTATTAAATAATTATTATTCGTGTTCCACATAATAAAGTATTTCACAATTAAAATCAACATTGACACGAAATCGATTCACATTGAATCAATAAACGCTCAGTATATTAACTATTTCGGGAAATATTAGAAGACCGAGAACGTGGTGGCAGTGAGCATGGATAAGACGTATATTCAGGTGGGAGAACTGCTGCGCAACTACTGCTGTTAGTAGGCTTTTGTAGTGCTGAAAATCTTGCAATTGCCTGAAATAGTCCATTAATAAACTGTACGGCTGATATCAGATGGAATCAATGATAAATTTTCAAAATTAAACACGATACAAATTACGATCGCACAAGAAGCTAAGCAATAAGACATTGAAGTAACTTATATAACATTGCAAAATGTTCCTAAAAAAGCTGATCCGCTATTTAAAACGGAGCCCTCGATTGAAGTTTAGGTATTCAAGTAATTCTTATATTACAAATTTTAAACTTCTTCAATAAAAAAGAAATAAAAGCGAAAACACAAAACATAGATCCTTTCCAGTATTGCAACATACCTCTTCATAAGAGGGCGGAGGATCGGACAGCTTTGACGAACTTGCATTAGTTGATAAAGTAGGGTTCAAAATCGGCATTGAATCAAGTTGAATTATATATGGTGGCAAAAAATAACTATGAGGCCTTAGCACCACAGAATCGCCATTATTATCATTCAATAAGTTCTCCTAAAACACGACACATCGCAACAATTAATGCCAGTCAAGTGCATTTTGGTAAGTGGTAATTTAATGCATGGTTTCACTAAAACAGAATGAACCGGGAAGTGGTACTAATTCTTAAAAGAATGTTGAATATGTCACAGTAATTCCTACTGAATTTTAATGCTTTTTGAATTTAATCGAATAAGAAAAAGTGTTCGGTAAAATTGCCTGCATTCGTAGATAAATTTCATT